GACGTACCTCGTACGACGTACCGTCCCTCGCGTTCCTTCGTCCGACGTCTCTCGCTTCGTCTGCAGCGCCCTACCTCTCTCTCTCTCTCTCTCTCTCTCTCTAGACTAAAAAGCATTTCTTTTCGGATGCGGTGCGCACAAGGTTGCAAATCTCAAAACGATCACGCGAGGGTACACCTCCAAACTTTCTTATGAGATGCACTAGTAGTAGTGTTTATTTCTTAGGATCGTATGAAAATCTATTTTTACTTTTAATTATAAAATTTTGAACTTAAAAATAATATAAACTAGGTTAATCTGTGGACGCATAAAATTTTTGAAAATAAACGGTCTGCAAGATGTACTGTTTTAAAACTTTAAATCTCTTTGTTTTTCTATATCTATATATCTCGATGTAGAGACTATCGATTAAGTGCTTTTCAACAAAATAACTCTTTTTGAATAATTTTAGAGGTGCACCTCGACTCTACATTTTAAAGTGTCAACCTTATATAAACTTTTCTCTTTCTTTTTGCTAGATCATGAGGCCTTAAAAAATAGCGAGGAAAAAAAAACATTAGAATAAGGCCCAGGGCCTCAAGCCTCATGAGAACAAATAAAGCCTAACCTCAAAACTCATATCTTAAATTGTAGTTCCAACATTGGAAAACATTCAAATAGATCATCGCGATCTGGACCATTACGTTATGGTTGTGAAAAAACTTATGATTTTAAGCTCTAAAAATAACGTACATTGTAAAACATCATCTAGACTGTTCATTTTAAATTGTTCACATATCCACAAAGTCTATAAATAAAAAAAAAAAATCTACAAAATTTATAGCATAGTGAAAATAGATTTTAGAGCCATTATAGGGATTTTTCATGCCCAAAGTATTTTTCGAACGATGTTTCAAGGTGTAGTTTTACTTTTTGTATAAGGCTTAAGCCTTATAGAAGTCATATCCAAAGAAAAATTGACAAAGAGGTGCAGTTTGTATAAGATTGCCACGTTAAATAATCAAAGTAAGGCATCTGTAAGAAAGATATTGTTTCAGTGTTGTACATCTCTATGATGGCTTAAAAATATATTTCACCCCTAGCCATGAAATTTAAAGCTTTAAAAGTATAGTTTTAGCAAATCTATAAACATTTGAAAATATTGAAAATTTAAGGTGCAAATAATATATTACAAGATGTATTGTTTCTCGGACTTGAAATCATTTTTTTTATATACATACATCTCAAAGTCGAGATGATCAACCAGAGGGTTTTTTACATCAAATTAACCTTTTCATGTGAGTTTTTGAGGTGCATCTTACTTTTATAATATAAGATTGATAATATATATGAACTTTTTCCATGAAAAAAATGTATCCATAAATTTGATGATTTTCCCACAAAAAAATTAATTTTAATGGGCCAGGCCTTCCCAATATTAGTAAAGCTCTAGCCCCTACCCCAAAACCCACCAAAAAACAGAATTTCGACACCAAAACCTTGTAATGGAGTGCAAATTTGTTTTGGCCCCTTATCATAGAATCTCTAACTTAAAAAATGACTTAGATATGGCAAGACTTGTAAACACTTAAAAAGCAAAAAAACTATAGTACAAAAGGATGAGGTTTCTATAGGGCCTGAAAACAAAATATACCCTCACCTCAAATCCTCATCGGGAACTAAAGTCAATTTTCCCTCACTTCAAATCCTCATCTGGAACTAAAATCAATTTTCAATGAGTTATAAGGTGAGGCTTTACTTATTTTTATAAAGTTGTAGCCCTATCAAATCATTTTCCAGTCTAAAAAATATTTGACTGACCATGTCATTTTTATGGCATCTAAGATTGTCAAGGTCAATTTGGTCGGTTTACGACTTCTTGTTTCAGATATTTGAATTATTGTTACATAAGCACCAACAATTGTGCCTGCGTCTATAACTATAAAAAGTGTCTAATACGTCGGTTAAAAAAACCTATGTTCTTGGATACATATGTATAATTAATATTCATAAAAATATTATGTTTTTTAGTACATATCAACCTTATATTTTGTTAAAGTTCGAGAGAGCATACATAGACATTGAATGTGAAGAGAAGAAGAAGAGAAAATAGATGACACGAGATTTACGTAGTTCAGACCGAAGCCTTACGTCCACGGATCTAAAGCCCTAATTCGCTACATCTTCACTATTTTTTGATAAAAATCGTGCCTCTATATATAGCGAATAATCATAATATGAGGTTTATCACCGATAACCAACTTGACCAGACAATTTCACTTGGTCTATTTTCAACATATTTTTTTCTATTGTATTATTAAACAAGAGTTAGTGGTGGACACATCTCACAAGAGTAAGAAGGGACCCTAATACTATAGACGTTATAAGATAGTTCACTTGTTATTAGGTCACTTTCCCATCTTTAAGGTTAGGGAAAGAGAAATATTTTTAAGGAAGAGATAGAATTGGAGAGGATATTGATTGGAGAAAGAATACGTAAAATAAATAAATTAATAATTTCAAAGAGTGATTAATAGAGAGAAAATTATGTTTCAAAAAAAAAAATATGGAGATAGATTAGCTTCCATCTTCATTCCCCATATTTAGGGAGGGAGGGAGAGAAGCTTTTTTTTAAGAAATTATATATTTATTTAGAGAAGGCGAGAGGCGTAGATAGATAGAGCAACAAGGAAAGCCAAAATTATATAGAGATACAATCAATTAAAATCTAAATAAATATCTTATAGTAGACAGGGTAGAAATTACATGATATATAATAACATATTAATTACAAGGCATAAGAAAAAGTGGTTGAGAGAAGCGTGAGAAACCTCTCCCATATATGGAGAGAGAGAGAGTATGCATTGTTTATTATTATTTTTGTTTATTTATGTTTGATATCTTTTAGAGCTTTTTATTATTATTATTTGTCTATTCTCATAAATATTTTGATTTATTTATTATTGTGCATATATTGATACTGAATTCATTTCGTTATGCTTAATGATGCTATAAACATCTCTAAAAGACTTTAAACGTATGCCAAATTTTTTGTTTATTACTTGATATTTAATTATTTATTTATAACTTTAATATCCTGCATATTATTATGTAATTTGCTGAGAATAAATGTAAAAAAAGTTATCATTTTTACATTAATTTCTCATGCTTTGAATTTTTCCCATAACTCATCATCCTGCTATGTTAATAAATTGAATATGAAATTGAACTTTTTGGCAAAAGTTCTATACCTAAAAAATAGATTATTACCAATTTTCACATTTATTATTATAGAATATAAAAAATATTCTATTAATGCAACTGGATGATAACAGTATCCATATTTTATCATTTATTTTTTCTAATTGTTTGTGACAATCCCTTTCTTATTATTTTTTAGGATTATTTAAATTAGTTTATATGTTTTATTTCTAATTATAAATCCCTCCACTTCAGAGTTATTCTTAAAAATACTTAAAAAATTATATGTTTTTAATGGCATACTTTTGTGCTTTGAAATTTTATTTTAACTTTGTGAGAGGGTAAATAGTATCACTACTTCACAAGGCAAATTTTCATGTTGGCTAAATTAAGTGGAATTAATGGGTGGACACATGTCACTCCTTCACATTTACAATGGAGCATTTATTTCTCTCTCTTTTAGTTACCCTAGTCTTTTTCTTTCCCTTTGTATTTCAACTTGGTTTTTCTCTCTCAACTTGGTCTTTCTCCACATTTAAAATCTTATTAGATATGCATGCAATTTTTTGAAAAATGATCCTTCATTAGAAAACCTTTTTAAATATTATCAAAACCGCAAGAGTTGCCAAGGATAACCATTGAGAGCATTGAAAAGAAGTAATTTCTTACCGGGTTAGAGTTATTCTATATATATATATACTTTTAAATATGAATAAACTTTTTTGAGAGAAAAATCTGATTTTCTATATTTATAGGACATATGATTTGTGCACTCTTGAATGATACATATCGTTAGTACATATGATTTGTGCACTCTTAAATGATACATATCGTGGTATTTTTAAATGTATAAGTCATCTTGATATAGTAAGATCATCATACCAGTGCATTGCACATGTTGTCCAGCAAAATAATATTATCCTCTACATCATAAAGATATTTGTTTTATATTTTTGTATTTCATTCTTAGATGCAACATACGTAATTTATAACTTTATTTATAACTTTATTTAGGAGTTTTGATGCATCTTAAAATTTCTTATTAAAATTTTACATTTTAAATTAATAAACTTCATTTTAAAACTATTTTGGCTTTTTTTTTTTTTTAGATTTACATATCATCATTTCAAAAAATTTAATATAATTTTATGAATATTATGTATCCATAATTAATCACATAATTAATCATAACAATTTTTTACTATTATTATAAATTTTAGAATGTTAGAAAATAATTTTTTTTCTTTGCCACGAAGTAGAAATTCAACTTTGAATCTTTTGGATTTTTTTAATAAATCTATATTTTATCATGTGAAGTTCAAAATTTATCAAGATTCATGATTAATTTTTATATTTTTACTAAAGACTTTTTTTTTTTTTTTTGAGATTGTATATAATGAGACCATTTACCTTTGATAATAAGAAGTTACAATTACTTCCATCCATTCGATGTGAGATATGATGGCTTGAGTGTTTCACAAAGTTCGCTAAAATTTATTTTGAACTTTGAGCTTGGTCAATGAAATAAATGCAACCACCCAATTTCACATCCAATGGTCAAGATTAATTGTGACCACCTTGTACAAAATGTAAATGGTCTCATTAAATACTTTCCCTCTTCTTTTTTTTTTAATGTATGTTCATATTTCATTCTTCTCCAACTAGTCAACCTTATACTATAGAAGTGAGTTGCACCCAAAAATCCATTGGAACATGTTGTTTTAACACTAAAAAACAAAATTATTATTAATCATCTTGACCTCAAGATATATGAATATAAAAGAATAAAATATTTTAAGTCTTAAAAATAGTATTTTACATCGTTTTGACTGTCTATTTTCAATATTTTTAAGAGATTGGGGAAAAATGTCACATAAAATTAGAGTTGGATGGACGAAATGTAGATGTATGACCGAATTTTTATGTGATCATTGCATATTAATAAAGCTGAATGACAAGGTTCATAGGATAGCTATGAGACCAGCTTTATTGTATGGGGTATGGGGTGTAATGTTAGGTGGTCAAAAAATAATATACCTATATAATGAGTACAGTGGAGATGATAATATTGAAATCGATGAGTAGCAAGACAATAAAGGATAGAATTTAAAATAAATACACTAAAAAATATTTAAGTGTGGCATTAATAGGCGATAAGATGAGAGATTAAACTTAAGTGGGTTGGCCACGTGTGGCGCATACCCAATACAACACCTGTTAAGATGTGCGAGTTAGTTCAAGTGGAAGGCTAAAAAAAAGCAAGAGGTAGGCCCAAAATGACGGTTGAAAGTATTGAAAAAAGATATGAGGACTTATAATATCACTGAGGATATGACCTACTATGGAGCAAAATGACGGACCAAAATTACTGAAGCCGACCTCAATTAGTTGAGAAAAATATTTGAATAAAGTTTTATTTCAATTATTCACTAATCATCATATCTACATTGTTTTTTGAATTCTTAGGCATCTCATTTAAATTCCTTACCGATCATAAGATAGTACACTATTTAGCTAGCATGGATCTAAAGCCAAATCCCTCTCTACGATAGTAAAATACATTTTTGGAAGGGAACACATGAACACATTTAAATCATGAGACACCAAAATTTGACATTCATGTTGGAGGGGCATTTTTGGATCCAAATATTTACTATCTTGTCTTCTGGACCACCACAATGATGAATATGAAAAAAGAAAGGAACAAACTTCTATTTTGTACAATTTTTGTTACTTACCCCAAAAGAAACTATTTTCTCTTACCATGTATTTTACTTGGTTAATGATTTTTGGGTTTGCACTATTCTTGGAGCTCTGAAATTATAAATGCGACAAAAACTTAGATTTTTGTACATTGGAGAACTTAAATGCTTCAAAAAATGCACGACTAGGCAAACTCACCAAATACTTTTCTTTAAAGATAATTAATTATACAATAAATATAAAAAAGATAAATTTGTCAATTCTTATATTTGTTAGTGAACTGGGTGTAGCCACAACCAACCAAAATCAAGTCGAATTGGCATCAAACGCTGAATTTTCAGCTTACCTACCAATGAAATAAAATAAAAGAAAGAACTCAGTCCAAATACCAATCAAAGTAAAAGGGGATCAAAATTTTGTAGTCATTTTTTAGTGACATAAGTGCATTACCTAGCAATCTCCCTATTTTAACCAGCCTAGATACTAGTGCCATTAAAAAAAAAAAAAAGAAGAAAAAAAAGAAGAGGAAATTAATAGGATTTTGTGACCTAAAAATCTTATTGAAACACGTTTTGATTGTATATTCCAGTGTTCACAAATCTACAAGATTTGACTTATTTTTAGAGCTTCCTCCAAAGTCACGGTAGAAATAAATTTTCAGGCCAGCACAGCTTCTCAATACTTAAAATACATTTTCTTATGGGATTTTGGCACAGCATTAGCAAATATTGTAAAACCATAGTTACCGAATATGTTAAAGCCGCGGTCCTACAAAAACCCCACCCACAAAAAAAAGTAAAAGAAAAGAGAATAAAGGAAAACAAAATTCCCACGCAAGAATAAAGCAAGAGAAGGGACAAAAGGGAATGAGGTTCTATTAGGAGGGTGTGGTATGTATAAGATTGAGGCTATAAACAATTAAAGTAAAGCACACTTTCAAATAGTATCAAAAGGTATTATTTCAGCATTGAAAATCTTTGTGACGGTCTAAATGTTTGTTTTTCTCTTTAATTATAAAATTTAAAGCTTAAAAATAATGATGATGGAGTATATTTATGAACTTAAAAATCTTGAAAATTAACAGTCCAAAAAATATATTACAAGATGTATTATTTTCAAGACTTGAAATCTATATTTATCATGTCCATATATCTTAAAGTTGAGATGATAAATTTGAGGATTTTTTAGCATCGAAATAACCTTTTTAGTGAAATTTTAAGGTGCGTCTTAATTTGATTGTTTAGAGATTCGAAATATATCTTTGCCCATATGGAAAAAAAAATAAAATTACACATCAAATCTCACGAAAATTGTAGTTCTTGTATTGGGAGATATCATCTCAAACCTTAACTATTATGAATGTAGAAAAAATTAACAATTTCAAGTTTTAATTAGAGGTAAATATTACAAATTTTATAATCAGAGGTGGACATAGATTCAAAAGCCATCAAAGGATTTCTCCATGCCCAAAGCATTTATCGAATGTGGTTTCAAGGTGAGGCTTTATTGTTTTCTTGTAAGGCCTAGGCCCTATAGAAATCGAGAAAGGATTAAGCGCATGTTGGATAAAACCAAACCACAATAAAAGATCACTTACACATCCAAAGATAGATAAATATAATATAGAAAATTGTCACTACAAAATTAAGGGCTTGTTTTTCAGTTGGTTCTCTCTAGGCACAAGCCAAAGAAGCAAAACCTAGATCCAGAGGTAAAAAGGCCTGTATATCTTTCCTTATTTTATTGTAATTTCAGTTGCATTATTTGGATTTTCCATTGATCATTGGCTGTAACCATTAGTAGACGTTGCATTTATTTGACTCTTTGTTTTTTTTTTGGCTTGTTTTTATGAGAAGGCGAGTGGCTAATTTGCATAATTATTTTTTAGGAGATATTGTTTGATTACATACTGAAAGGAGAATGTAATAATTTCATCTTTTTTTTTTGGGTGAAGAACTGGAATTAATTGTGTGGATTAATTTCATAGTGGAAGATATATGCTTGATTTTCTTGAGTAAAGTTGAATGTATATGCGTGTTTTATTTTCTCTTTCGAAGGCACATGCATGATTTATTTATTTATTTTCATGTATTTTTAGTTTGAATCCCCTTGAATGTGCACGCAAGTTAGTGGACAAAGCCATTAGTGAGTTATGCGAGGTTTCTGAGAAGCAGCAGAAGTTCGGGTGCATGGAAATGAATTTATTTTATTTCATTTTATTTTCAATCCCAACACTGTCTATTATCTTCAGTGTGGTTGCTTTTCATTTTGCCCCTTTTTTTCATTTTAAGGAATATATGAATTTCTTCTAATTGTGTTTTTCATATCGAATTCCTTCTTCAATGCTGCTCACTGTTTTCTTGGATTTACCAGATTTCTTACAACGAAATCGGGCTTTTTTTAGATTTCCAATTATGACTCTGTATAAGTAATTGACTAATCGTAGTTTTTCTGATGAATCATTTATTAAATGTAAACTTTTTTCAAGCAACATTAACAGACTTCGCGAATCTATAAAGATGTTATTATTATTTTTTTCACATTCAACATTTACAGTGATGTTTTCACCTTTATTGGATGTTTTTCTGCAGTCACTTTATTTTTGTCTTGTGATTGAATCTAACACAGCCCAAGTTAACAAATAATTTATCTGGTTGCTTAGAAATGACAATTTTTTATTTTTGATAAAATAGTACTACTACTATTACTATATATCAAGCAAAATATCTGTTTCTGTTTTGGTTCAGCGCAATTCAGCTCTGTTATAGAGGTGTGGTATCTCCTTTATAGATGATGGATCCAGAATCATAAATCATTATAGGAGACCAATTTTCATCAGAATGTGACCTGATAGAAAATTGATCATCCCCATACGTACATGTATAGATTATAGATGTTGCTTTGGAGTGTGGTCTCACTGGTGTTGACGAATTTAGTATGTAAAGAAGAAATGGAGTTTAATTACAAATAAAAAACAAGGTAAATGACGTAGTATTTGTTATGTGGAAGAGGGGAGCTGATTGATTTGGTCATCTCTTTTTCAGCGAGCACTCACAATTCTTGAGATGAGACACTTACTGAGATGGTTAATTGCTGGCAGCACTGTTACTCATTGCTGAAATACTGTGTTCACCAAGCTGTACAGGGAATACATGCAATCTGAGACATATGGATAGATGGGGGAGAAGAGGAAAAAAAAAAAATCCAGGATTGGTGGAAGCTAGCATCATTTGGCATTGGCTATCATAAAACACCCTTACTGTGTGTCATCCCTATCTATGCCTTACTTGTCTAATAGGTCTACTTCATTTCAGGTGCTATATAGTAAATAAACCCCCCCCCTCTTCTCCTCCAAAGAAAAAAGGCATCAGTGTATATTGTTCATTTGGCTGAGGGTGGTATCGTGCACTTTTTTAAAGCATTCCATGTGGCCTTAGGCTTTGAAAGAGGGGAGGTGCTTTATTGTTTGACAGTTAAGGACACTTCCTTAGTGGAGACCATCTTGAACGTTATGCTTTCAGTTTCTTAGTACCTGTGCATATCAGTTTCTTAGTACCTGTGCATATCAATGCTCACTACTCCGACCAATATGTGAACATTTTCCATGTAAAGGACACCATGCAGAACATCAACAACACATACGAGTGCTCACTCCCTGACCAATATGTAAAAATTCCAGGTAAAGCATACCATGCACAGCATGAGCGACTAGCCTAACCACCGTGAGAGACTTTATGTCCGCATTGACCTATCATTCCACAGGATCCTCTGAATTTTCATAGCGCCATAGATGATGATTATGAACAAGAAGTAGTAGTAGTTACCAGACATTTGCAGTATGTAAAGTGTTTCATTTGACATATAAAGTAGTCTCTTTTGGGTTCTGTGTTATCTTGGCATGTATTGGATAAATACTTGGTGCTGTTCATGCTATTTTACAACTTTGTTTTCACTGCATTCGAAGCATCTGTGTACTTCGATGTACTTTCTATTTGTATCCTAGGCATATCAATAATCTCTTGGGTTATATGAGTTCCACTGGCTGCTGTAGTTCTAAAATTGATTATATTTCTATAGAGCTGGTTTTCCTCATTAAGGAATTCGATTAGATGTTACCCTTGTCTGAGATTTTCACCCTTTAAAGTCTTGATGATTGTTAGTTTGTCTCCAAAATATGTATTGGGATTCTTGTTTATTGTTTCCTAAATTTTTATTAGTGTTAGTCTGTATTCTATAATGCATTAGTATACTTGCGTCTTGTGTTTTATATTTATTTTTATGTTTCTCTATTTTCTTGCAGGATGGATAGTTGTACTTATGCCAGGTTGGCTACTGTGGAGTAACTATGTTTTGTGCTGGAAATTGCTTTTAAAATTCAGGAGTTAAATAGCAACATGAATATGCCCTTATGTAAATATTTTTTGTAACTTTTTTCTTACTTCTCAAAGAATTTGTTTGCATAATTTGAGTTTATTAATGGCCAAACCACTGTCTGAAGGTTTTGTTAATGGCCATGCAAACAAAAATTCAAACTGTGGCACATCATTTCCCACTGAAGAGTTTTCAAATGACTGCAAGTCAGAATTGTTGAGCGCAAATGATGCTGCTGATAAGAAAGTGGGTGAGCCTTTAGATATGAGGAGTGGACCAAGGCATCGCCCTGTTACTCCTCTGCGGGTTTTAAGAGGTATCTTATGCTTGTTGGTGCTACTCTTAACAGCATTTATGGCCATTGTTTACTGGGCTCCAATTACGTGTGTTTTTTTGAGACTCTTCAGTGTACACTACAGTAGAAAAGCAACTTCTTTTCTATTTGGCTTGTGGTTAGCTTTGTGGCCTTTTCTATTTGAGAAGATAAACAAGACCAAAGTGGTTTTTTCTGGAGAAACTGTTCCCTCAAAGGAACGTGTCTTGGTCATTGCTAATCATAGAACAGAAGTAGACTGGATGTATTTATGGGACCTTGCCTTGAGGAAAGATTGTTTGGGTTATATAAAGTATGTCCTCAAGAACAGTTTGATTAAACTTCCAATATTTGGGTGGGGTTTCCATATTCTTGAGTTTATTTCAGTGGAGAGGAAGTGGGAAATTGATGAACCAGTGATGCACCGAATGCTTTCGACATTTCAAGATCCTCGTGACCCCCTTTGGCTTGCTGTGTTCCCAGAAGGCACTGATTTCACGTAAATACTCATTGCTCGTCTTTTTTATTTATGGGAACAATATTAAGGTATTTACTAGGAGCACCTGCATAGATTATGTCGGTGGTCAAGAAAATAGAAAATTAATGGAGGGCTTGAGTCCATTAATTTACTTTTAGAATGGCGAGTTTACCCCTGTCTTATCTTTTAAATATTCGATGAGCATGTTGTCATTTAAAGATTTGACAGGTTCATATACCGTCTCGTTAATGCAAATTTTTGTGGTTCTTGCGTGGTGGATGCAGGCGTTTAAGTAGTATTCTGAATCTCTCTTATTTATTTACTATCTGGATGCTCTGATATTACAATTCTACATTTCATGTTAGATCTAGAGACATGCTACTTGTTTATCATTTCTATTTAAGGGAAAGTATGCTACAGTCCAATGGACCATGAATTACAATATGCATTGGAATCAGTGGTGATCCCAATGAACTATAGTTTTTCCATTATTTTTTGAAGTCCATTGGATGATTGTCTACGTCCCCTTGTTTTATATATTAATATGAGCTCTTTAACATTTCATACTTGGAGTTTGCATTGAGGAAATGAGATTTATGTTAAATAATTTCACTACACAGTATCTACCATTAATTTGTCACTTTTTTATCCTTCCCACTGGCAGGGAACAGAAATGCCTCCGAAGCCAACAGTTTGCAAGAGATAATGGACTGCCTGTCCTTAAGAATGTACTCCTCCCAAAAACAAGAGGTTTCTGTTTGTGTTTGTCTACTCTTAGGAATTCCCTGGATGCAGGTTAGCCTTCTTTCATCTCCTCCCTTTTGCATGCTTGAAAATTTAAAACACCTAAATGAAGCGCTTTGGCTAGGGAAAATATGGTACTATCCATGGCCTATGGCAGCTCATTGTTCATGTGGGCCATCAGCATCCAATGAAGTGCTGGATGGTGATGAAGAGGGAATGGGATCCACCAGGGCCAAACATGACCCCAATGTTGGGCCCCACTTTCCATTTCCAATGGCTATAATTTTTCATACTCCATTGGAATGTACTATAGTTTCCGTGGCTTGTTTGTCGTTTCTGATTCTCGAGTACTTGCTAGTGACAAATTATAGAGTTGAACCTAATGTCCAAAAATAAATTTAAAGGCTTGAAATTTCACCACTTAAATTCCTAACTCTAAATGTGAATGAAATGTCAAGGCCCTGCACCAAGGATCATTTTTCTTCTTTGAGAATGTTGTGTTTGGTGTCCATCATAGAATATCTCTTAAGTCATGGGACCATTTTGTCTAATGAAAAATTCCTAATCTTCTGTTTTTTCACCGTTGATGGCACTCATGCATCTTTAGATGATTTGCATCCCCAAATTGTTTTTTTTTTCTGTTTTAAGAAAAAAAACAATTTGTATCCCCAAATTGTTGGGGTCTCATTTCTTTCTTTTCTTCGTTTATACAGATTCCAAAATTAAATATTGTTTCTCATTATTGCCAAGTACTACTCTACTTCTCTTTGTGCTGGTATGGACAGACCACTTGAAATAGCAAAGTTTTTGCTTGGCTGGATCCAGCTATTCCTGAGAAGTCCTATTTCTCTGCCTACCTTAGTTGAGAAATGTCTGTTTCTTTGCCCCACCAACTTGAGAAAGAACCTCATCTTCCCTTGCCCATTCTCCGTACTTATTGTAAATTGCATCCATCAATATCCAGCTCCCTTGCCCATTCTCCGTACTTATTGTAAATTCCATCCATCAATATCCAGCTGGCCCTTATGTATCACTCTCTCTAATCCATTTTTTCCCTGATAATGGTTGATATGGGGTGAAGTTGTAATATAGAGGATGGACAATGCAAACCCATAGTCTACTGGTTCATGACCATCCAATGAAGTGATAGACAATAAGAGAGACAGCGAGATCCTACAGAACAGGACAGCAAGTGTCCCTACATCTGTCACTCATTTCATTGGACGGTTACAAGCCTAAGGGCTGTGGTTTCACATTCCCATTGGACTATTGTTTGCTTTAGAAATTCACTTAAAAAGTCATAGACGGAAGAAAGATGTAGCTGGACTCTGATATGGATTTGTCTTCGACTTTTTCCTTCAGTTTATGATGTAACTATTGGTTATAAGTACCGATTGCCTCAGTTCATAGACAATGCGTTGGGTGTGGACCCTTCTGAGGTCCACATCAATGTTCGTCGGATCCTACTAAGCGACATCCCCTCATCTCAAGAGGAAGCTTCCAACTGGTTGGTCGAGAGATTTCAGCAAAAGGATCAGTTGCTCTCAGATTTTAGCTCCCAAGGCCACTTCCCCAATGAAGGCACGGAGGGTGATCTCTCAATGTTCAAATGCTTAGTAAATGTTTTTGTGGTTCTTTCACTTATTGCTATTTGTACATACCTTACTTTATTCTCCTCTGTTTGGTTCAAAGTTTATGTTGCACTGAGCTGTGCATATCTCGCTTCGGCAACGTACTTTGGCATTTGGCCCTCCCCGATTTTCGGTTCTCTTGGAGTTGGGTTGTCCACAAAGAAGTCGAAGCTGGTGTAATGACAGTAATTTTGAATGACAATATTCATCTTAAAGTTACTTTTTTTTTTTGTCCAGATTGCCTACAAAGACACTATTTATCTTTGGAAAAAGTTTATATAAGGTTGCAACCTTAAAATGTAGAATTACAAATGCACCTAAAAAATCTACTGGAGAATGTTGTTTTAATGTTGAAAAATCGATCATCTCGACATTGAGATGTAGAATATGAAAAAAAATAAAAGATTGAGTCCCAGAAATAGTCCATCTTGCAACACATTATCTAGACCGTCTATTTTCAAGAGTTTCATATGCTTATAGATTTACTCGTTTTTAATTATTTTTGGAGCTTAAAATTTTATAATTATATATAAAAATAGATTTTTGGAGTTTGAAATTCTATAATTAGATATAAAAATAGATTTTCAAATAATCCTAAGAATTTTTTACATTAAAATTGCATGTTATGATCAAATTTAAAGGTGCACCTTAATTGGATTGTTTGAGGTTGCAACCTTGTAGAAACTATACTTTTTATCTTTGGAAAAAGTTTATATAAGGTTGCAACTTTAAAATATAGAATTACAGATGCTCTTTAATGTTGAAAAACACTCTAATTGATCATCTCAACATCAATATGCATGAATATTAAAAAAAAATAAAGATTTTGAGTATCATAAACAATGCATCTTGCAACACATTATCTAGTGCATCCATTTTTAAGATTTTCACTTGTTTATAGATCTACTTGATTTTAACTATTTTTGGAGTTTAAAATTTTATAATTAGATATGAAAATGAATTTTGAGATAATTCTAATAATTTTTTACACCAAAATTATATGTTATGACACAATTTGGAGATGTGCCTTAATTGGATTGTTTAAAGTTGCAACCTGATAGAAATTATACTTTTTATCTTTTGCACATGGAGATCACAATTATTCTCACTTATTAGATGTCAAATTAGATGATGAGTCACAAAGTGTGAGAGTTTTTTTTTTTAACTTTGTGTCTCTTGAATGACATTTTCACAACTACTTATTTTAAAAGTTAAGGGACAAAGATAATTGTGACTTCCATGTACAGAAGATAAATGATCTCTTTGTACACAATAATTAAATTAACAATAATAATTACATAGTACAATGGAAGAAATGACTTCCATGAGTTTTGTTTTTAGTTTTTGTTTGTGTGCCTGTATTATAAAACATAAGCTCTTACTGGTGTTTTATTACCTACCGATCCATAAAGTCACTTGCAAAGCAATGGCGCATTGACTGCCACCATTGGCAAAAGCAATGTTTGAAAACCAGATCAGAATTGGGAATCATTGATCCAGATTGGAATTGCTAGGTACATTGATCCAGATTGGAATTGCTAGGTACCTCAGGTCCCTGAAGAATCGAGAAATACTTTTAGTTTAATATTTTTTCTATTCGTTTGCCAAATTGGCGAATCTGGGTCCATTTAGGGATTGGCCAATCGACCCGGACAATCTAAGTTCTAAAAAATGGGTAAAATAAATGAATTTTGAACCCCCTCTCTCTCCACAAAGTATACAAGGTTTCGGGTGTTAGGACATCCAACGTTGGAATTCTAGCCGATTTTCACAGTAAACAATGTTGACGACAAGCTTATGGCTAATACAAAGCCACAGGGTTTGATTCAAAACATGTGGCTAGAGGGATTTTTCTTTCTAAGTTGATATTTGTGCATCTTGGTTTTGAAAACTAAATAAATTAAAAAAAATTGATTTTGAGCTCTTTAAGGTCTAGATTCATCAAAATAGTGGACAAAATTTCTTCACTTTTTCATGTGAATTCCTTTTTTTCTTGATATTGACCGCTTAAATAACATCTACACGTGCAAAATGTGGGATCCAACAGACCTGTACTTCTCACAGCTTAAGCGGTAGTATAAGCGGGTTGGCTAATATTATATTTTCCTAGTATTAGTTGTATTTCTTGTACCGTGAAATACAGAAAACAGAGCCAAAACTTGACTTTGGTGTACCATTAAAAGTGATCTCCAAATTCAGTTTGGTGACTAAGTTAATTCAATTAAGCTTAATCTAGGGGACATAACACTAAAGTCAAAGGGCTCAAAACCCAACAAAAACCTTGCTGGTTTAATCTATTGATGTGATTTTTAATAGGGTTGTGAAAGATGGAGCAAGGACTTTAGTGATAAGGATTTGTAATTATCATCATCATCATCCAATCTTTATCTCAATGATTTAGAATTGATTACATGGATCATGTTCTTCCATTCTATAAGCTTAGAATTCATGGTAAGATGTGGCAAAATTTCCAGTCGCTATTAATGTAACCAACAGCTTTTATCTAGACTTGGAAGGGTGAAAAGAAAATTTAAGGTCTTCACCCTTATTAGATCAAAAGGCAATCCTCAAGAGTAAAGAAATACTTTATAAAAAAAGCTTTAAGGTGATTAACTTGTCATGAGGACTTCAAATTCTCAAAGGGAACATAAGACTATTTATTCCAAGAAACTAACAGTAGGTGGGGAAGTTAGCAGTGAGTGATAAGAACGTTTTATCCTCGAATGAAACCAAGTATAGATTTAAAGGGTATTGGCATGATCTGAAAAAGAGAATAATTAATACATAAGAGTAGCTGGAATAAGCAACTGTGGTGAAGGTAGATCTACAACGGGCTAAGTTAGCCCTGTCTTGGGTTTTCCGGATGGTCTAGAGCTAATATATCACAACTTGTGGTTCGGAGCCTGCTTAAATCCTCTCATTGAGGTTTTAGCAGTTTAGGAAAGCACGGCTCGGCCCCAGAACCTGACCCTCGGCCAAGCCACCGAGTTCGTGTAACTCGGCCAAGTTGGGCAGGTCATGGCCAAGTCAAATAGTGTTCAAAAAATATAATAAATCTCAAGAAATATGAAAAATATGCTTAAAGTAGAACTAAACAAAACACATCTAAATAAGGTTAAAAAGGTCGTAAAAAATGGATTCTAAAAAATCAATTTGTGACCGAGGTACTTTAGAAATAATCCAAAAAGAAAGCAAAAAGTAAAAGTAAGTATTCATGGCCAAAACACTTGTTAATCTTTGCCAAAATGATAAAAAAACATGGAAAACCATATCACAAATAAATTTCTTATTTTTTGAAATTTTTTTAAAGATCCCGAGCTTAACCACCAAACTTGATAATACTCAGGCTCGTCAGGATAGCGAGCTCGAGTTACTCGAGCGAATCTGGGTTGGCTCACTTGAGTAATTGAACACTAGGCTTGAGCCATGCATGGCCTAATAATGGAATTGATATGAACACCAGGCTTGAGCACCCCTTATTTTGAGTGGTTTCATTGGCTTCCATTATAGGTAATGTAATTCATATGAAGGTTGGTCCGATGGTTCTTGTATGATAGTGGAAAGTAGAATAGACAATGCTTTATAGATTTGTGAGGTAACCACCTATTTATCCAAATTTTATAATTTTAATGTGATAATAAAATTGTATTTTTGCTTTTTGTTTGTGGATGTAGCCCAATTACAAAT